GGGGGGCTGGTGGCGGGGTTGAGTCTGGGACTGGGGCTGGGGTTGGGGTTGGGTTTGGGGGGAGTCTGGGGCTGGGGTGGGGTTGAGTTCTGGGGCGGGGGCTGGGGTTGAGTCTGGGGCTGGGGGGGGTTTGAGTCTGGGACTGGGGCTGGGGTTGAGTTGGGACTGGGGCTGGGGCTGGGTTGAGTCTGGGACTGGGGCGGGGGTTTGAGTCTGGACTTGTTCTGGGAGGGGGTTGGGGTTGATTTGGGGCTGGGGCTGGGGTTGAGTATTGGGACTGGGTTTGAGGCTGGGGCTGACGCTGGGGCCAGGGTTGATGCTGGGGTGAGGTTGGGTCTTGTTCGATGTATGTCTGGGCCCTGGTTTATAACGAACTCTGGGTGCTCTCTGAAACGAAATACTGTTACCTTCCTTCCTTCCTTCCTTCCTTCCTTCCTTCCCTTTCCTTCCTTTCCTTTCCCTTTCCTTTCCCTTCCTTCCTCCTTCCTTCCTTCCTTCCTTCCTTCCTTCTCCTTCCTTCCTTCCTTTCCTCTACCATAGAGCTGCAGTATAACCTGACAGCCGACACGCACCACAAGGAGTCTTTCCCCTCCCGCTTCCATTTCCACGGCAACGGGACGTCCAACGCTACGACAGGGCAAGTCAAGGCCAGACACGACCAGCTGACCTGCGTCACCCACCAGGCCTTCATGAGGGTGAGTCAGAGGTCAGGGTTTAGAGTTCAAAGGTTAGGGGTTGAGAGGTCAACAGCTGTAACCACTGAGAGGTGTTTCCAGGTCTTCCTTAGGAAAGAGGTCTTCAGACCTCAATTGGACTTCCTATTTAAATAAAGGTTAAATAAAAACCACCACAGACACTACAACACTGACTGAGTCAGTTATTATAGGACTGACTATATGGTGTCATGCTTCCGCCAGACATCAAAGAACTGACCTTAAGTCAGTTTAAAGCTAGATTTAAATACATCTGAGTCGGAGCAAGGTCAACAGCTGTTAACACAGCAGACACTACAATCACTGACTCAGAGTCAGTCAGTCAGTATTGGACTGACTACATGGTATCATGCTGCTTAAAAAATTGTACTTCAAGTCAGTTTCGACTGTGGTGTGGAGTCACTGACTCAAAGTCAATTAGTATAGGACTTCATGCATGACAACATGCTGTGGCCAGACATCAAAGAACTGACTTCAGGCCAGGTCAGCATGCTGATAGACATCAAATAACTATGAGTCAGCGGAGTAGAGGAACATCAGGCAGGGTCTGATGGTCATAGACCTGCTTTACCTTTTAGACAACAAATCATTGGCTTACTATCAGGATGGACCATCAGTTGGGTAGATACAGTGCCTTCAAAAGTATTCACACCCCTTGACTTTTTCCCCATTTCGTTGTGTGACAGCCTGAATATAAAATTGATTACATTTAGATTTTGTGTCACTGATCTACACATAATACCCCATAATGTATACGTAAAAATGTATGCACACATGACTAAGTCGCTTTGGATAAAAGCGTCTGCTAAATGGCTTATTATTATTATATTATAATGTCAAAGTGGAATTTTGTTTTTAGAAATGTTTACAAATTAATTTAAAATGAAATGCTGACATGTCTTGAGTCAAAAAGTATTCAACCCCTTTGTTATGGCAATCCTAAATAAGTTCAGCAGTAAACATTTGCTTAACAAATCATATAATAAGTTGCATGGACTCGCTCTGAGTGCAATAATAGTGGTTAACATGATTTTTGAATCACTACCCCATCTGTGTAAGGTCCCTCAGTCAAGTAGTGAATTTCAAGCACAGATTCAACCACAAAGATCACCGATTGGTAGATAAAAAAACGACATTGAATATCCCTTTGAGCATGGTGCAGTTATTAATTACACTTTGTATGGCGTATCAATACACCCAATCACTACAAAGATACAGACCTCCTTCCGAACTGAGTTGCCGGAGTGAAAGAAAACCAGGAAAAAACAGGGATTTCACCATGAGGCCAATGGTGATTTTAAAATAGTTACAGAGTTTAATGGCTGTGATAAGAGACAACTGAGGATGGATCAACAACATTGTAGTTACTCCAAAATACTAACCTAAACATGCATCCTATTTGCAACAAGGCACTAATGTAATACTGCAAAAAATATATATATAATTGTTGTCCTAAATACAAAGTGTTTTATTTGTGGCAAATCCAACACAACACATCAGTGGGTACCACTCTCCATATTTTCAAGCACGGTGGTGGCTGCATCATGTTATGGGTATGCTTGTCGTCGGCAAGGACTGGGGAGTTTTTCAGGATAAAAAGAAAGGGAATTTAGCTAAGCACAGGTAAAATCCTAGAGGAAAACCTGGTTAAGTCTGCTTTCCAATAGACACTGAGAGACTAATGCAACTTTCAGCAGGAAAATAAACTTAAAACACAAGGCCAAATCTACACTAGCATTGCTTACCAAGACTACATTGAATGTTCCTGAATGGCCTACTTACAGTTTTGACTTAAATATGCTTGGCTGTCTAGCAATGATCAACAACCAACTTCACAGAGCTTGAAGAATTTAAAAAAGAATAATGGGCAAATATTGCACAACTCCGGTGTGGAAAGCTCTTAGAGACTTACCCAAAAAGATTCACAGCTGTAATCACTACCAAAGGTGTTTCTAACATG